TATATATATATATTGTTGAAGTAAGGTGCAATCTTATACTGTTGAAATTTATATAAAGTTGTAATTTTATAATGTTGAAGTAAGGTGCATCTCAAAAGTCTTACATAGGAGAGTGTTCTGGTATTGGAACTCCAAGTGATTTTCTCGATATCGAGATTAATGGACACAAAGACAAAAAATAATTTAAAATAAAAAAAACAATGTATCTTGTAACAAGTTATCTAGACCGTCAATTTCCAAGATTTTAAAATGTTTATTTGTACAATTTTTTAAAATGTGTTGTTTGTATAGAGCCGAGGCTCTAAACAATCAAAATAAAATACACATTCAAATAATGTTGAGAAATGTGGGTTCAATACTGGATATCTTTTTGATAGCCTTAAAATATATTTTTCATCTTTAATCATAAAATTTAAAGCTTAAAAAATAATATAGAAAGAGCAAATCTATGAAAACTTGAAAATCTTGAGACTTGGCTGTCAAAAAATTCATTACAAGATGCACTATTTTAAAAACTTGAAATCCATTTTTTTATCATGTGCATGCATCTTGATGCCGAGATAATCAATTTGAAGATATTTGGGGATCAAAACAACCTCTTTTAATGAAAATTTTGAGGTGGGCACCAATTTAATTATCTAGATTTTTTTTTTTTAAAAAAAATAATTTTATAACGAAAGATGAAAAGAGATTTTCAAGCATTTTCCACACCAAAACATCCCTAAATTTTTTAGGCGCGCCTCATTTCTTCAATTTAAAGAGGAAACCTTATACAAACCTTACCCCAAATTAGAATGTGTGGGCTTGACAAATCACTAAGCCCCTAAAAACGGGGGGAGGACGGACGAATGCGGCTTGGGAGGACGACATGATATTTCATCAAGAACAATAAGAAATATATTATTTTTTCAACGGCTACTATTAAACCAATGAAAACCAACGAATACGATTGAACAGTGATGCCATGGACTTTTTAAGACAATGCAGCATTATGTCGGTGTTTCCTTTTCCTAAACACTGTTAGTAGAGGTTTAGGGTTTCGTCAATTTAAGGTTTTCGAAAGTTTGGGTTTCGGGTCTAGAAAGTGCATGTCACGCGTCTGCAACTTGAGATTGTGAAGCGTAGGGTTTGTGAATTGGGGTTTCTGCAGCGTGGGTGTGCAAAGCGCTGAAATTTATGGTTTCTTTCCACAGCTAATAAATGCAAGTTGGGGTTATCGGAATTTCATCAATAATACTGCTTGCATTCAGGGTCTCTGCAATTTAGGGTTTCCGTGGCTCAGTGAATCGGCAACCTTGGGACGCTGCGTCATCAGGGTTTTGCAAATTTGGGCTTCTTGGCTCCAGTGGTTTTTGAAATTTTGTTCAGGGTCTCTACAATTCAGGGCTTTTTCAACTCAGGCTTTCCGCAAGTTAGGCCTTCCATCAATGGCTGAGCATTTGGCTTCAATATTTGGTACAGAGAAGGACAGGGTTAACTGCCCCTTCTATTTCAAGATTGGAGCTTGCAGGCATGGTGATCGATGTTCTCGTCTTCATAATCGCCCAACCATAAGCCCCACTCTCCTTCTCTCTAACATGTATCAGAGACCCGACATGATGACACCAGGTGTTGATCCCCAAGGCCAAGCCATGGAACCCCAAAAAATCCAAGAACACTTTGAAGATTTCTATGAAGACATATACGAGGAATTAAGCAAGTTTGGTGAGATCGAAAGCCTCAATGTGTGCGACAATTTAGCAGATCACATGGTGGGTAATGTCTATGTTCAGTTCAAAGAAGAGGAGCAAGCAGCTGCCGCTCTGCAAGCTATGCAATATCGATACTATTCAGGTCGACCCATAATCATTGATTTCTCGCCTGTTACTGATTTTCGAGAAGCGACTTGTAGGCAATACGAAGAGAACAACTGTAACAGAGGTGGGTATTGCAATTTCATGCATGTGAAGCAAATTGGAAGGGAATTACGGAGAAAGCTGTTCGGAAGGAACAGGAGATACAGGAGGAGCAGGAGTAGGAGTAGGAGTGTGAGCCCTGGTCACAGGAGGGAATCAGAGAGAAAGGGCTATGGGGATCATGGTAGAAGGAGCTATGATAGATATGATAAGCACGGAAGCCATGATAGGCATGGGAGCTATGACAAGTATGATAGGCATGGGAGGCATGACAGGCATGGAAGGCATGGGAGTCCAAAGAGAACGAGGAGTCCAGTTCGCGAAGGAAGTGAGGAAAGGAGGGCGAGGATCGAACAGTGGAACAAGGAGCGAGAGGAGAATCATTAATGCTTTTTTGTTCCTCTTCAATTGTATTCTTCAGGGAAGATGTGATGATGAAAATTGGGTTTTCCCTATTTGTTGGAAAGACTAATCTTTTTGATTTAGAAGGTAGGTTTGATATGGATTTTGAAGTAATTACTTGGTATTGTTGTTTCTGGATCTTTTTGTTCTCAAATTTTGTCTTTGTGTATTTTTCTTGATGTTGTGCCTTGTGGACATGTTGTTGCGATGAATGGGCATATGGGTTCTGGACTTCTGGTTATTTTGGCTGTTTTAGTTTTAAGGTTTGTCCTCACTGCCTATGTGATTCATTGCCTACCTAGATTGTGGAGTGTTTTAGTAATGATGTTCTAGTTTGGTCGGGGGTTATGTTTATGAGAGTTAGTTGCCATTTCCCTTACCTCCCATCAGTAGTATTTATTGATTTATAACCTCTATGCTCATTGTATGCAACTTCCTGATTTATTTAGCTATGAAGTGATGAGTTTTCTATTTCTAATTAATCATTAGAGTATAACCATGAAATAAAAGAATTCAACCACAACGTGTAGTCTATTGTGAGAGCTGGTTCATACACGTGCTTCTCATTTTTCTAATTATCGTATGATCTCTCAAAGTGCTTCCCGTAAGTTTTACATAGTTGAAAAACCTGGACATTCAGTTTCCATGAATATGGTTTTCTTGTGAAGGGCTTTAACATAATAATTGAGGTTTTCTTGTTACTATTTGCATTGTTGGTTATTCTGTTTGAGGATCTTTGAGACATTTATTGTGACTTCTTTTTTCTAGGCTTTAACATAACAATTGAGGTTTTTCTTGTAACTATTTGCATTATTGGTTATTCTGTTTGAGGATCTTCTATATTCTTATCGAGACTTCTTTTTCTATCCATACATTATCTGCATGTTGTACATGTGTGTGCGCACACACACGCTTGTTTATATGCCACTCATTATACATGCATCTGGTCTCCTATAATTCTAGGGCCTAGTGTCAAATTGGTGCCTCTTAGTTTCCATTGCTATGCATAGAAAACCTGTAGGATTGATTGAGGGGTTGTTACATAGGCTAGCATCTCTTTTGCTCATTTCATCTATTGTTTGGTGTATTAATCAAATCCTTTTAGGTCATTTATCATTTTTGCATGGGTGAAATACATGGAGACCGACTACTTGGAAAATTTTACTACCAATGTAGGAAAATACAGAAAGGGGCCAAAAACAATTCAATAATGCCAGATTTGAGTTGATCTGGCTTTTCTTGCACAAAAAAGTGACCCCAAAACCCTAGATATGACTTGCTGACACTATTCCTAGTCTGTTTTTACTATTCATGCCCCAAAGTTCTAGAAACCCTAACTTATCAGGTTCGTTTTATTACATTATGTTAAAAAAGACCAAAACGACCCCCACTCAAGTTAAAAACATTATAATAAATACCCCACAAGTCCCTTCACTTACAGTAAAACATAAAAGATCCCTAAACTACCCCAAATTTTAATTCAAACACTATAAATAACTTGAAGACTATATAAAAATAAATAAACTAAAAGAAATTCCTTCAAAAAGTTGGCCTTCTCCTCTTGGATCTCCTAGTGACCTTGGGATGTGAATCGTTATAAAGTTGGTCGTCAAATTATGGATTGATTGGGTCAAAAGGCTCATGGGAACTTTCTTGACTTGTCAAAGGACTGCCCAGTGCATCATTCTCCCCTGGTTGTGAAGAACTCGACCTCGAGTTCGGCTCTTCTTCTATTGCTACCTCAGGTCCATGGAACTCTAATGTAGTGTTTTTTTTTTTTGGCATTTGTTAGATTTGATATGTAGGATTATTTTTTATCTTGTGGTCCCCTTTATGGAGTAGAAAGCCTTGCCTTTGGGAAGCCATCTTGGCCTAGGGGTCCGTCGGTTGGATTTGGGGCACCTTAGACCCCTTTACCCATGATCTAAAGTTTACCAGTATAGTAACCTTTTCCCTTTCGGTCTCCCTCTCCTGATTTTAGACTAATTGGAATGGAATTTCTCCATGGTCTTTGGACCCAATAGAGTGGACAGGAGAGGACTTTTTTGGGTTTAACTTGATCAAGTAGCCTCCATACCCCTACCCCGTGGTGTATAGGTGGAGGCTTCAACATAAGGACAGGGTCTCGTGAGAAGGATAGGAACACTGGGATCACTTCTAGCCTATTTGCTTTTGTGGATTTCGTTTTGAGAAACAATCGGTTGGACATCCAGCTCAATGGCTCTTTTTCACCTTGTCTTGCAGCCCTCCAGCACTGTAAAAAATTGATGGGGTTTCTCACTTTCCTAGAATAGGAGGAAAATTTCCCTGGACTCGTACTTCTCCCAATGCCCGTTTCTAACCACATGCCTTTCTTTTAGCATAGGCAATTCTATAACAATGCAGGCTGGCTACTTGGAAAGCAAGGGTATTGTCTTTAGTGTGGTGTATTACTCTTATTAAAGCAACCTTGTAGAGCACACCAGCTTCCCGGTGGTAATAGTTATCACTAGACTAGAGAGACTAATGAAGGAATTCCTTTGGTGTGGAGCGGGCAGACGACACAAGTTCCACATGGTGTCGTGGGACAATGTTGTCCCTTAGGCTTCAGCTGAGCTACAAATATATATCAGTTTGAGTGAGGGAGATCAAGTGGTTTGAATCCTTGAAGTTTGTCTTAAAGTAGCCCAAGCATACTGAGCTAGCCTCTCTTTCTCTCTCTCTCTCTCTCTCTCNCTCTTCTCTCTCTCTCTCTCTCTCGTCGTCTCGTACTACGTACGTACGTACGTACGTCGTACGTACGTAACGTCGTAGTTACGTAACGTTAC